CTCTTCCCCCCCCTCGTGCTCCTTTTCTGCTACTGGGCATTGAAGCCCGGCTTCCTGTCCCACATACTAGGCAAATGCTTTACTGCTGAGTTATACTTCCAGCCCCAAATTTCTTCTCAGTTTCTTCACTTCTTATATACAGGGACCAAGGACTGAGTCAAAATGCCAAGTAGAAGTGAGGGGCGGTGGCAGTGGCAGTGGCGGCAGGGCCATGTACTCCCAGCTGTGGGGGAGGGCCAGCCTGAGCAACTTAACAAGACTCTCTCAAATAAGTCTCTCTCAAATTAGTCTTTGTGGCTAAATTATAGTATTTACTTTTTATACTATCTTTCAGTGTTAAGCTCGCTCCTGCCATGTGCCTCATGCTTCTGCCCATCATCCTTCTGCTTTGATTTGGTCCCCTGCCTCTGATTTCTGCCCTCCACAAGGCAGCATGTGATGGTATCGGGCTGCTGTTGGTGTCATAGACGTTCACCAGATGCTTAGGGAGCAAACATGCATCGACTCTGGAGAGATTGTTGCTCTGAATGCTGTCTCTTTTCTTTGCACAGGCCTGTGATTTGTTTGTTCATTTTGCTTGAAGGACACAATGTTTTCCAAACTAGCACGTTTACAAGCGTTTGCTGTACCTCGCCGTGGAGTTCATTCTTCGGTGACTTGTGCCACATCCGTTGCAACTAAGAAGACAGTCCAAGGCCCTCCCTCCTCTGATGCCATTTTTGAAAGGGAATCTAAATATGGTGCACACAATTACCATCCGTTACCTGTGGCTCTGGAGAGAGGGAAAGGTAGGTTTCAAATTAGTCCCACTCCTTTTTGCTTGACATTTTTAAAAATAAGAATGAATTGCTCTTGTACTTTCTCAGAGTCATCTCCCCAGATGTGTTGGATGTCTGAGTTGCAGAAAGGGCGCTTGTTGCCAGCCTGTGTGTCTGGTATGGCTGCATTAGGTGCTATGTGGCCACAGAGATGGCCAGGGAGTCTTGGTCGTGGTGGGTCTCACTCAACCAAGAGGAAATGCAGGAGAAATAAGGAAAGTACTGTAATATCGCGGTCAGGTGTGGCTTGTGGAGCTGGGGATCAAACCGTGGTCCCCTGCTCCTGACTGAGTGTGCCAAAGCAGGCGCTTGAAACAGCTGAGCTAAGCTGCAAGCCCCTGCGGTAAATATTTAAATACAGATTTAAAAAATTGATTTCAGTAAAAGACACTAACTCCACCCCAAATACTCTCCTTGTCTGTAAACTTACTTACCCCGTCCCTCTTGCCCCTTTCTGAAGCGATTTTGGAATTAATCTTTTGTGTCTTTACAAGGAGTCCTAAAAAATACAGTGTCTGAGTGTGGCAGCACATGTCTGTAATCCCCGCCCTTGGAAGGCTGACCCAGGATGGCTGCTGTGATTCAAGGCCAACTTGGACTATATAGCAAGACCCTGCCCTCAAAACAGAACAAAAGACTAAAACAGGGGCTGGTGAGATGGCTCAGTGGTCTAGAGCACCTACTTAGAACAAGCTTAGCAGAGCACAGGGACCGCGGTTCAATCCCCCAGCACCACATGCCAGCCTGCCCCGCCCCCTGGTGGGCTGAGCTGCCCCCCCCAAATAAATAAATAAAATTTTAAAAAAAGACTAAAACAACCACCCCCTTCCACAACAAATAACCTGAAAATACAGCAACTGCTGCTGCTCAGTGCCATCTAGTGGAAAGGCAGGGCAAGAAAGGGGAATACAAATGAATGGCCATTTTGTATCTGTATGTTCAAAATAGTTAGGATAGATATACAGCTGCATTCTCTTAATTCAATGAATAGAGAGATTTGTTCTAATAGTGTTTGTGAGCAGGATATCATGTCTGCATCTTGTACAATGAATAACCACTAAGACAGCAATATGCAGTGTATTAATTATTGAAACTGCTAGTAATTGACTTTGAAACTGTCAAGTTGCAATTTGTTTCTCCCATAAAATCATTTAAAAAAATAAATAAATGCAGTGATTTGTAAAAAAAAAAAAAAAAAAAAAAAATTGACCCTGCAACTTTTAGCTCTTCTTTGAGAGCAAAACGCCCATGAAGGGAAAATGTTTTGAACTGATTCGGGACAGCCATGACCAGGGCAATCATGATGGCAAACCTTAAGACACTCAGGAGCAAGGGCTTCTAGCACTGCTTCACAAGGGTGGCAAGAATGATGGGCTAAGCACGGGCGGCAGGTTTTAGTAGTGCAGAGGGGATTAGAGGCAATGTGTCTTTTACTACAATAAATCTTTTTTTTTTTTTTTTTTTTTTCCAGGTACTAGGGATTGAATTTAGGATCTTGTGCTTGCTAGGCAAGCGCCTATTCTACTGAGCTATCTCCCCGTCCCAAAAGAGATTTACTTTTTTTTTTTTTTTTTTTTGGTGTTACCAAGGATCGAACTCAGAACCTGACACTTGCCAGACAAGCTCTTATTCCACTGAGCCATCTCCCTGGCCCTGCAATAAATCTTTTATTTTATTTTATTTTTTGCAGAACTGGGGATTGAACTCAGGCCCTTGCACTTGCCAGGGAAGCGCTTATTCTACTGAGCTATTTCCCCGACCCCGGCCCTGCAGTAAATCTTTAAAATTTTTTGAAAAACATTTGCAATACTTTTTTAAAAAATTTTTTTTATTTATTTATGTGTGTGTGTGTGTGTGTGTGTGTGGCCAGCTCAGCCCACCAGGGGGCGGGGCTGGCTGGCATGTGGTGCTGGGGGATTGAACCGTGGTCCCTGTGCTTTGCTAAGCTTGTTCTAAGTAGGTGCTTTAGACCACTGAGCCATCTCACCAGCCCCTGCAATACTTTTTGGTCATACCTCCTACCTAGATCTTTATTAGACACAAGATTTATGATTTTTTTTGCATGTGGAGGCTGGCTCAGGTTGCCTTAATGGCAGGTCTGGTAATGCAGGTGGAGGTGGGGATTGAACCATGGTATCCTGCGCCTGACTGCATTTGCATGAGCAGGCGCTTACACAAGATTTATGAATATCCCTCTTCTGTGGATTATAATAGTCGACTTTTCATGATGTCTGTTTTATGTGACTTCCTTACTTTTGAATTGTAATTTTGGCTCCTAAATGTTAAATTAATTGAAGGCAGCCGGATGTGATGGTGAACACCATAATCCCAGCACTCTTGGAGGCTGAGGCAGGAAGATGACAAGTTTGAGTCCAGTGTGGGTGATTTAGCAAGACCCTGTCCTAAATGAGAAACAGAATGGGTTGGTGGTGTAGCTCAGTGTGAAGGCCATGGGTTCAATCCCCAGTACTGGGGAAAAAATTACGTGGAGGTATCACTCTAGAATTTATAAACTTTTTATGGGTATTTTGGAGCTGGATAAAAAAATATGTGCCTCATAATTTCTATAAACCAGAGTTCATTGCGCTCAAACTAAAACAAACTTAATTGTAAAAAATTGAGTTTTATATGGAGGTGTTCAGAGGGCTTGCCAGCGGTCTGAGCCTTTGGCTTTTATGCCGTGCAATACTTTTCTATAATCATTTTCCTTCTCTGTATGTTCTAGGTGTCTATGTGTGGGATGTAGAAGGCAGAAAATATTTTGACTTCCTGAGTGCTTACAGTGCCGTCAGCCAAGGGCACTGTCACCCCAAGATTGTGAATGCTCTGAAGAGTCAGGTGGACAAGCTTACCTTAACATCCCGGGCTTTCTATAATGATGTACTTGGTGAATACGAGGAGTATATTACTAAGCTTTTCAAGTATCACAAAGTTCTTCCTATGAACACAGGTAAAGCATTTTCTTTTGTTGTTTAATACCCAAGACAAGTCAGTCATCTTATTTTCTGACCATTGAAAGCTTTATTTAAACATGAGTATCCCCCGGCCCGCAGGAGTGGAGGCTGGCGAGACTGCCTGTAAACTTGCGCGGCGGTGGGGCTACACTGTGAAGGACATTCCGAGATACAAAGCAAAGATTGTTTTTGCAGGTATGTGAAATTAAACTGTTATAATTTAAGTATACAATATTACTTGAATTTGTTGATGAAGTAGTTCTTAAGGGTTTGCCTTAGTACATGATATATTATTTGCTGAATGTTTCATCGAAATCAAGGAGGGATTTCTTCTTGGATTTATTTCTTCATATATGAAGTTTGTCTTTCTTGGCTCCTGACTCTTCAGGCTTCCTTGAAATGAGTGACTATATTTTTTCTTCCTTTATCAGATTATCCCCATAACAGTCTTCCAGTTAGTTCCATGATTTATGGTGGAGGGTTTTTGTCAGGTGCTAGGCTTGGGGTCAGCATCCTACATATGAGTTGACATTTGACCCTTCACGTGAGATGTACCATTGGGCCACGTGCTTCTTAGGTGCTGTTGGGAACAGGAGGCCTGGGGTTGCCATTTTTACATTTCTGGGATTGTTTGAGAGGAATAACTTGAATTCTTTAGAAAGAATTAGTTGGGATGATATAATCTGACTTTCAGAATCTTCATATAAATGTATCATATTACAATGATAGATTTTGAGTTTTTAAGTTTTGATTTTAGTTTATAAAGAAACAGTGTATTGGGGCCAGGGAGATGGCTCAGTGGAATAAGCGTTTCACTGGCAAGCACGAAGGCCTGAGTTCAATCCCCGTTTCCGGAAAAAAAAAAAAAAAAAAAAGAGTGTATTGCTTTGTCATTGTACATAGTCAGATTTCATGTGTGTGATAATTGAAATCATTATTTTGTGAACATAAGCATTTGAATTATAAACTTCATCCGATAATAGGATCTGGAGTTCTATTGATGGCCAGAGATAAGGGGTATTTGAGATAACAGATTAGTAGTTCCAAAGAAGCAATGTACAGCTCTATAATTTGCCATTTTAAAATCTTGTGCCTTAGTTGTAGGGCCACATAACAGTCTCATACAAACAAAAATGGTGCTTCTGGTGATTTTCATTCTCACAGACTGTGTCCAGTCTCTTTTTAGCAAAGGGTGCAAAGATGTTTTCGCCAAAGTATTGAGAGACGCTGGTGAGTGAGTGGGGTGGAGAGACAGTGGAAGACTGTCCCCAACTGTAAGTCCCTCTTTTTACACAGTGAGCTGTGGAGGATGAGGTGCCTGAGGCTAGGTACAGGAGGACAAATAAATTTATGGTCTCATTAGTTAGTGATTTTTCTTGAAAAAGCTGGGTTAAAATCAATATGCTAGTGGGATGTGGTGGTTCCCATGTATAATCCAAGCTCTGGGATGCTGAGAGAGATATATTACAAATTTGAGCCCAGTCTGGGCAACTTGGTGATTTAGTGAGACCCTGTCTCAAAATTAAAAATGAAAAAGCGCTGGGGATATGGTTCAGTATGAAAGCCCGAGCTGGGTTCAGTCTCTGGTGCTACCAACCAAATCAAACCAAACTAATCTCCTCCCCCAATTCAATATATTCTTCTATGTGGATGAATAAAAATCAGGGTGGAAAAGTGATGCAAATGAAAGAGACTTTTGCAAGGGTGGTAGAGAGGCCAAGAGACTAAATAATTCAAGACTGAGTTAACTGAGTTCTTGATGGCGAGATGGTGGGAAGATACAAAAACATTCTGAGCGCAGACAGATCCTTATCTTCCATGGTATTGTGCTTTGTTCCTTCTTGAATTTGACTCTGTCTGAAGTTGTATAGTTCATTAGCTTTTGTGGTTTATGTTGTTTCCTACTAGAAAGGAAACTCCTTGCAGGCAGGGCACTTGCAAGATGTGGTCAGCATTCTTCCCATACTCATAGAGTAGGGCCTGAACTGAGCAGTATCCAGTTAGGTTTATTTATGGATAGAAAATGGCCCTGAAGAAAGGTGGATATATGCCATCCAACATAAATGGTTGCAATATTAAGGCAAAATGGGAAATATTTGGATTTCCTGAGGATCTTTTTTCTAAAGAAGTTAAAAAATGCATTTGGTAGTTAGCTTGCAGTATTGGATTTTTAATAGGAAACCTGCTAATTCTCCATGAACAATATTCATTTCTTATCGCTATTCTAAATGCACTTTCTGTGGAAAGCAGAGACTGAGTCCCTCAACTGTTAGAGTTTGGTGTTGGGTTGGGATGATTCTAAGAAGAGAAAGTGTCATCTTGGCTATATATGTAGCTATTGGGATACAGTAGAGAAGAACCTAAGATAATAATTGCAGGGTCAGGCCTTCAGGCTTGGTGTTTTATGTCAGGAGAACCATGGTGTTTAATACCAGATTTTGTTTAAATAATTGAAAGCTCATGGAGGCTCTCTAAAGCAAACCCTTGATTTATTTTTAGCTAAACTTCCCAAGGTATTTTAGGGCGTCAGTGCTTATTTATGAATTTCTTTTTTTTTTTTTTTTTAAATTTT